GCGAAAACGCCAAAAAGTGGGTAGTTCCACAATTAGTTCTGGTACTATGAAAAGGTTCCTGCGGTGCGAAAGGCCCTAATGTAGTCTGGATTACGTAATCAAATTTTAAAAATTCAGTACTTGTAATTAATTATATTACATTTTAAAATGGTAATAATCAGATTACAGTTACTGTTTAATGGATTACATATTATACACATAATGACAGTAAATTATTCAAAATGTATTTATTGATTCTCCTTAATTCTTTTTTTTCTTTCGTTGAAATTTTCCCTTCTAAATTAACCTACCACTTATACACATTTTGGCAAACCCTACTGTAATGTAATGTTTAATGCATTTCATGATGTTGATAACAAAGAATGGATTACACACTAGGTTCCATGTTTTATGGGTTCGTTCCATAGGCGTAATGGTTTTTCTACTGTACAAACTGTATTTTCTATCTCCTTACCCTAAACCCAACCCCTTTACACAAAACTTTTTCAGATTTTTTCCTTTTTAAAAAAAAAAAAAAACATAATTCTGTATGATTTATAAGCTGTTTTCCTCATGGGGGCCAATGAAATGTCCCCACGAGGTCAAAAATGACTGCTATTGCTATCCTAGAAATGATTCACCAAGGCCGTTTTATTCTACCATGAAATAGTATCGTGACCTATGTAATGTTTAATGCATTTCATGATGTTGATAACAAAGAATGGATTTTTTTTTTATCAATATGGTACACAATAATCCCATTTAAGTCTGTAATAAACGAATTAGGTCAAAAGTAATCTAAAAGTAATAAAAAAAAACATCCACATTAACTAATATGTGTAATTCAGATTATGTTACTAACTCATGTAATTTGTAAATGGACTACAGTTTGTAAGTAATCTACCCATCACTGGCTATGAACTAAACCAATCAGTTACGAGGAGAATAACAACATTACAAACTTTATTTTGAAGCAAAAATCCAAATTTGAAACATAAAAGTATTTGAAATAAAAAAAAAAAAAACGACAAATATACAAGATTGTGTTTAATGGTTTTAGTGAAGGAAATGAACTACAATCTCATTAAGCATTGCATATAATATAACTGAATAAAAAAGTATGGTAAAATATAAAAATACTCATTTAAACTTGGTAATTATATCTATAGAAACAGCATATTTTAAGTTTATTGCAAAACACACACAGACACACAGACACACACACAGACACACACACAAACACACACACACACACGCACACACACACACCTCATGGGGGCCAATGAAATGTCCCCACGAGGTCAAAAATGACTGCTATTGCTATCCTAGAAATGATTCACCAAGGCCGTTTTATTCTACCATGAAATAGTATCGTGACCTTCACTGTAAGACGCACTCTTGTGTTCCTCAGGACCTTGGGGCACTGAGGATCCCTGAGCAGTTCCGGCTGGCGATCTGGAGGGGCCTGCAGGACATGAAGCAGGGCCAGGATTACGGCCAGCAGCTCATCCGCTCCGGCAGTAACATGGCCACCATGGCCCTCGGCGCCGGAGGAGAGCTGCAGAGGCAGCGCGTCATGGAGGCCGTGCACTTCAGAGTGCGGCACACCATCACCATCCCCAACCGCAGCGCCCCCACAGGAGCGGAGGAGTGGGCTGACTTCGGCTTCGACATGCCCGACTGCAGGTTACACAAGCACTCCATTAAGGAGGAGTTCGCAGAAAGCGACGTTCACTGAGAAGGACCGCGCATCCATTGCTTTCCATGATGCATCGTCCGTATTGGTTTCTTTAAACTGCGATGGACAGTTTGCATTTCCATGTAGTAGCACTTCCATATTTGACAACAAGGGATTTGAGGAGTAAAAAAAAAACTATTCGCTTTTATGAAGACCAGGGTTCAATGAATCATTATATTTAATTGATTATCATTTGTGGCCTTATGCTAATATCACATCACACAAAAAATTATCCATTAGCTAAAACAAATAATATTATTAGGACGCAGTTATGAACAGTTAAAAGCAGTGTATGATTTCAGACCATTGCCTTATTAATTTCGGCTCGGTGTAAATAATAATTGTGCAGTTATGTATTGAATAACGTGTGAAGTAATGCCCGTAGATCGAGTGGATGCTTGACCCACAAAATCATACTTTATATTTACTTATTTTGAAAAGCGCAGGTTTCTCGAAGCCAGACATGTACAACTAGATCAAAAGGCATTCTGTATTAGAATTATTTTCTCATTATAAGTTATACCTATAATTAGTTAATTTTTCATCAAAGTTTTACAATAATATTGATGAAAACAACACCATAAAAGTGAATTTACATTTTTTAATTATTAGCATTTTTATTTAAACTAAGACATTTTTTGAAGTGGTGCTTTACACTGCAACTTTTTTTATTTTTTATTTGATGAATTATGTGTTAAGTATTATGTTATTGACAGGGAGACACTGGATCATCATAAGGGTTGTCAGAATTGTAAAGTTTTGTGGTATTAGCCTTGCAGGACAAGGTTTTATTTATCATGCTGTACTGATATAATGTCTATTTTTTCCTTTAGCATATGTAATCACTGTCTTAAATGTCTCTAAATTTATGTTTTTATGTAAAAGTAAAATTATGGCTCAGCCAAGGTATTAAGGTGGCATTTCATCCCCAAATTGCAAATATATATATATACACATTATGATTTTATGATTTTATTTTATGAGAACGTAAATGCATTTAAAAAAAGGAAATGTATTAAATATATATTTTTTTTAAATCAACAAAGCACAACAAATAAGAATTTTGGAATAAATGTGCTAAATTGTAAACAAAAAAATAAATAAATAAAAACAAATAAAATCGGTCTTTAATCAAAATATTATTTTATTATTTTATTTTGGGGCTGAAAAAAGGATATACCTATACATAATTTTGTGAGTTTCACCTCTTCAACACAAAAGAACAAAAACTATGTACTGTTTCAAAACCTAACTCCACTTTAATACCACTTTTAATATTGCTAGTACTAAGACGATGACAAAGTTTGAAGTACTTTTGTACTTCAGATACTAGATACTAGAGGAAAGTGTTTCAGACAGAGCCGTCATCCAGGAGCAGTGTCTTCTGTGGTATATAAGAAATGTATTTATATTTCTTACACCCATAAAGTCTGTGTATGAAACTGAACTAAGGGCCGTCTTGAACATTAATGATTTGGTGGATTGTATGTAGTCAGAGGTACATTTGTCACCTTTATTTAACAAGCAAATGCATTTGTAAATAACTAGTGTTACCCGTATAACTTCTTGTTGTTCATGTGATAAGAACAGCACATTTCAGACCGAGTCCCAGGAGGTTAATCGAGGAAATACTGCTGATTTAAATTGGCCGTGATGGTGAAATACCATCATATAGATCAAAGCACTTTATGGCTTTAGGATATTGTAAACAATGTTATATTCACAGTTAATATCAGTCAGTATTATGTCATGCTGTGTCATTTATACAGATTGTAGAAATGTTTTTAAGAGTTATCTTGTGTTTTCATTAAAGAGCTGTAACGCTGTTTCTTTTTTTATATTGCCACGTTTGAATGCTGTAACGTGATTTCTTTGTCAAATAAATACTAAAGTGTGCAAAATGAGGGTGTTTTAATATAAGATCACTGTCTGTTGTCTGGTCTCTGCTGGATTTCAGGCATTCTGAGCATGTGATTTCAGATGTCACATAAGTTACACCTATTTAGGACCAAGTTGAGATGACACTTTATTACTTATTGTTCGAGACTTTTCTGAATGAAGAATAAAGCCCCGTTCACACCAAGAGCGATAACTATAAAGATAACTATTAGAGTCACTGTTGCCAACTCTCGCAAGACAAATAAGCAACCGCTGCTTCAAAAAAAAGCCCAAAACAAGCCCAATTTTTTTTATGATTTATTATCATCAATATTATCAATTATTTATTACCAATAAATGAGCCTGCAACATATTAAACTGAAAACACTCTTTTATCTGAAAAGCAAAAACAAGCTATTTTACAAAAATCAGCAAAATGCAACAAAAATGGGAATAAAACTCATCTCCAGTCACCTGTGTGCAGAATAGGATTGGAGAGATGGAAAAGGAGAAAAACACAAGAGCTTCAAAGGGGAGCTGTAACATAGCCACATAAAATAAAATATAGGCTATTCGAACCATATTTACAGGTGCATCTCAATAAATTAGAATGTCGTGGAAAAGTTCATTTATTTCAGTAATTCAACTCAAATTGTGAAACTTGTGTATTAAATAAATTCAATGCACACAGACTGAAGTAGTTTAAGTCTTTGGTTCTTTTAATTGTGATGATTTTGGCTCACATTTAACAAAAACCCACCAATTCACTATCTCAACAAATTAGAATATGGTGACATGCCAATCAGCTAATCAACTCGAAACACCTGCAAAGGTTTCCTGAGCCTTCAAAATGGTCTCTCAGTTTGGTTCACTAGGCTACACAATCATGGGGAAGACTGCTGATCTGACAGTTGTCCAGAAGACAATCATTGACACCCTTCACAAGGAGGGTAAGCCACAAACATTCATTACCAACTGAGAGACCATTTTGAAGGCTCAGGAAACCTTTGCAGGTGTTTTGAGTTGATTAGCTGATTGGCATGTCACCATACTCTAATTTGTTGAGATAGTGAATTGGTGGGTTTCTGTTAAATGTGAGCCAAAATCATCACAATTAAAAGAACCAAAGACTTAAACTACTTCAGTCTGTGTGCATTGAGTTTATTTAATACACGAGTTTCACAATTTGAGTTGAATTACTGAAATCAATTAACTTTTCCACGACATTCTAATTTATTGAGATGCACCTGTTTAACAGTTCAGGCTCTTTTTATCACAAACTGGTTCAGTAGGTGCAGTAAACATTCATGGAAAACCTACCAAACAAATTTTGTTTCTACCTTTTAACATTCAATTCAATTCCAGTTTATTTGTATAGCGCTTTTCACGATACAAATCGTTGCAAAGCAGCTTTACAGAAAATTTAAGTTTCTACATTATATTTAGTAATAGCTTATCAGTGGTGACTATCTCAAGTGGATGTCCATTATAGCAAAGTTTGGTAGTTCTGTATGTTGTCTGGGGGTTGGCATCATCTGAGGTCCTCTGGGGGGTGGGCATCATCTCTTCTCAGGTGTTCGGTCATCTCAGGTCTTTCTAAGGTCTGGATCCAGACTGAAGCTTGTGTAATTCCTGGTTACAGAAAAGGTAATAGAGAAAAATTAGCGTAGCTGCTGTTCTAACTAAACAAAAAATGATGTGTTCAACCCAAGCAAAAGAATGGTAATGTGCATTTGATCAGATATAACTGAAGTACAAGGTTATGAGATACATTATCATGTGAATGCTTGGCCAAAAGAGATGTGTCTTTAATCTAGAATTAAACAGAGAGAGTGTATCTGAACCCCGAACGTGATCAGGAAGGCTATTCCAGAGTTTGGGAGCCAAACATTTTAACAGTTTCTAAAAGTCCCCATATATACACAGTTAATATGATTAACCCTTATATAAATAGAACATGTAGTTAGTGAACTCCATGCCCAAGAGGGTTAAGGCAGTGCTGGAAAATAATGGTGGCCACACAAAATATTTACACTTTGGGCTCAATTTGGACATTTTCACTTAGGGGTGTACTCACTTTTGTGGCCAGCGGTTTAGACATTAATGGCTGTGTGTTGAGTTATTTTGAGGTGACAGCAAATTTACACTGTTATACAAGCTGTACACTCACTACTTTACATTGTAGCAAAGTGTCATTTCTTCAGTGTTGTCACATGAAAAGATATAATAAAATATTTACAAAAATGTGAGGGGTGTACTCTAGAGAACGCTAGTGTTAGAGGGTCAAGTTTTTTTTTTTTAAACAATAAATAAAAAGAAAGCAAGTAGATAGAATAGAAATAGAATAGAGAGTGCTCGGATTGAGTTGGGCAGAGCTTTCCACCAGCAGGGGACATGTAAAGTCAGTGAAAGTGATTTCGTGCCTCTTTGGGATGGCACAATAATGCGCCTTTCCCATTAAGAAACAAACTCCTCTAAATCTTGAGTGAATTTCCAGCACATGTGGATCTGTGTGAACAGAAGTAAGAGTTTCAGTCCGGAGGTCCAGCGCAGGGAGCGATGTGTTCCGCGCGCGGCTGGTCTGGTCTGCTCTACTGCGGTTAACAGAAGCACTGACGTGTTCACAGAGCAGCAGCGCGAGAGTGACACAGCGGCACAACCGGGTAAGAGAAACACCATTCCTCTCATCTTACTCCTGTTCTGAACCTCTCACAGGCACCTCGACTCCTCGAGTGTGCCAACTGCCCGTCTAATTCTGTCGTCCTCCAGTGGCATAACGACTGTAACATGATATTTTTTATCAGCTGCAGTTGAGGTAGTGCTAGCAAAGTTTACCCCTCAAACGCCTGCGTTCGGATCTCCCCGGAAGTGAGTTGTCCACTTTTCCGCGTGTCTGCTGGTCTTTATAGTTTCTTCTCGATGTCTCCCAGGTTCAGTTTCGATCACACATTCACATTCAAAAACTACAACCCGTGTGTTTCCGTTTGAGGCAAATTGTTTCGTGTAGTAGGATGGGAAGTGTAGTTTACACGTAGTCGCCCGTATTTTGTATCAACGGAGAAAACCTGATTTAAAAACTACAGTAACCAGCATGCTTTGCGCCTTAAAGGAATCACTCAGCTGCGGCTAACCACCTATGCTAAATAGCATATTAGCTTACGAGGTCTGACTATTAGCCTTCTAGTTACGTTATTAGTGAGTTAATGAAATAAACGTTGAGGTAAGTGTCCGTTGCGCCAGTTGACTAATGAGAACAGACTGAGAATAGCTCTGTACCGGAACTAAAGCCACTGTTCATTTGCATGCACTGTCCTGTTTGGTGTAAATGTCAGGAAATACACACGTATCTCAACCGGGAATCGCAGGTTCTGCCCTAAAATCATCACTATAGTTTTTTGACATATACATGATGTATGTTGGTATGCACCAAATTGATGCGTTAGATTACGTAGAAGTGAGTGAAAGATGGGGGAATGAGGCTGATGAGCTGCTTTGAGGCTTTTGCAGAGACACCAAACCGGTTCTTCTTTCAGTTTATGTGCCGTTTTATTGAAGGTAATCTTAATTTAGGATGATTATTATACACTTGAACAACCTCTTGTTCATTGACGCGGTTGTTTGTTGGACTTTGCCTCAGATTACATGTAGGTTAGCACACGGAGGCTTCCCCTGTTTTGCGACCACGCACTCAAGGCAATCGTATTTTATCATTGACGGAAATGGGCAACATGTGACGGATCCGCAAGA